AAACTAAACCCTTATTGGTTACTGGGAGAATAACCTATTCTTTTTAAAACTGGTGAATAAAGGGAGAAGTGAACATTTATACTATCTTATCTAAAGAACCGTTTTTAAAAGACAACCAAATTGATTTAAAATTCTTTTGTGTAGAAGAATTTCAGTTAATAAATGCAGAAATCATAGCATTAGAAAAATAATGTTTCTTCCAAAAATTTAAAGCTCTCAAGTTCAAACCATGGGAACTCTTTTAAAGTTTGCTGGCTCCTGCCTCCATCTATTCATCCATGCTTCCTTCCTTTTGCCCTTCCTTCTTTCCTTTCTTCTTCCCTTTTAATAATGTTATTTTGTTGTTGCTGTTGAGAATATACTCAGCAAAACATGTTTTCTTAAATCATTTTTTTAGGGGCCCATACAACTCATCACAATCCATACATATATCAATTGTGTAAAGCACATTTGTACATTCATTGCCTTCATCATTCTCAAAACATTTGCTCTCCACCTAAGCCCCTGGCATCAGCTCTTCATTTTCCCCCTCCCTCATCCTTCATGAACCCTTGATAATTTATAAATTATTATTTTACATGTTTTTTATAGGTACTATTTAATAACACTGATTACAGACTTTTGAGTTGTGCAACCATTCTTATTCTTCCTTTCTGGGCTGTCCCTCCACCATTATCATAAATTCACTGCACTGTTTTTAAAAGAAATCATCTTTTAAAATTGAGATACAATTAATATCATACAATCCAATAGCTCGCTCCCATTAAGAAGACCCCTATGGTTTTTATTTAATCTTTGGAATTTTTGTCAATTTGACCTCAGATAGTTCTTAAAGGGGCAGATATGTTTTACTAGTTAGGCTAAACAATTGTTTAGTTTGAGGAAAATTTCAGAAAACAATTTTCATTTAGGGTCCTGTATCCTTTTGATAGGACTCCATTAATCTTTGTTTTGGGAAAAATAAAATGTCCCATGGAACATTTCTGTGTTCCAGACTTGAAAGCAGCCAAATTCTTTTAAGTGTCTGGTTCCTTGTAGAGAGAATGGTCTGTAGAGATCATGATTAATACTTTGTTCATCCTAATTCACATGTTACTAAATAATGAAATGTGATCACATAATATTTTTGAGTATTTTAAAATAATGAATCCATATCCCTTAGTAAAAACTATAATGTTAAATTTAAGATTTTTTTGAGAGTTTTTTTCCCCCAGGGTGTATTCCAGAAAACAAAATACTTGTACTGTGTTTTAAGGTCACTTGGAATAATTTTTACGTGGCTATGCTAACCAACTGACATGTAATTAAGTTCATTTGTTTCTTTATTTTTATTTTTTCAATTTTGTTGTTGTATTCATTGCTAATAAGTGGATTCCGATTCATGGTGACCCCATGTTTGCAGAGAACTGCTCCATACAATTTTAAGGCAGTGATCTCTAAGAAACAGACTCCCAGGCCTGCCTTCTTGCCTTCTGGTGTACCTTTGGGTTCAAACTGCTTACTTTTCAGCTAATTTAAAATTCAAATGAACAATTATGTGTAATAATCACATGGAACACAAAAGTCCTGTTGGAAAAATAAAGTATATCAGAAATAAAAATTTATTAAGAAAAATTGGAAGATAAGATTGAGGAAATCTCTTAGAAAGTAGTACAAAAGAGACAAACATGATAGAAAGTACGGGAGTTCTACGAAACTCAGGGACCGGTTCTGAAAGTTCAATGTCTGAATAGCAGGATTTCCAAAAAGAGAGACTAGGGAAAAGGGAGATAAAGCAATAATAAAAATAATCCAAAATAATTCCTGAGTTGAAGGGCTTCAAGTTGAAGAGTCCCAAATGGAATGGATGAGCGAGTTCATATCAAAGTATATCTTTGTGTGATTTAAAAAATTGGGGAGAAAAAGAAAACACATTAGGCTCATTGGTATAACAGCTTAAAAATTCTGAGGAAAAAATATTTCCATTTTCAGTTCTATACCCAGCCAAACTAAGTCAAAGGTGAAATTTCTAAGTAAGGTACAATTAAAAAAAAATTGCCTCCCTACCCTGTTTCCCTGAAAATAAGACTGTGTCTTATATTAATTTTTGCTCCCAAAGACACGCTAGGTCTTATTTTCAGGGGATATCTTATTTTTACATGAAGAATATGGTACACATTTATTGTTTATTGTTTTATTAAGAGACCTTGCACTTCCTGTCTGCTCCAGCTGTGCTGCGGCCAACAGCATGGCGGCATCCGCCTCTATGGTCCAGAGTTACAGTAGCTTCAGGGGCCTTATTTTTGGAGAGGTCTTATTTTCGGGGGGATGTCTTATATTTCAGAGAGGCAAAACTGTAAGTAGGTCTTATTTTCGGGGGACGTCTTATTTTTGGAGAAACAGGGTATCATTCTTTCCTTAGGAACCTATTGGAGAATTCACTCTAACGTGAGCAAAAAAGCTGATTTAGGATTCATGAAACAGCGAATCTACCCCAGATTGATGACATGGGAATTCCAGGACAGTTGGTCTAGAGAGCAACCAGTCCTTCCTAAAGAGAGAATTGAGAAAGGTTAGGTAAAACAACGAAGAAAGGACATTCAAAGTCTCCTTAAATGAGAGGATGTCTAGGAAATGGCAAACAGTACCAATTATTTGGAGTACAGCAGTGGTACCTCAATTTTTCTGCACATTATATATAATACCTGTGTAACTTAAAAAAAATCCTGACGTCTGTCATAATTATACTAGAGTTTCTGAAAGTAGGAGCCAGACATTAGAATTTTTAAGACCCGTAGGTAATTACAACGAGAACCAGTGGAATACAGAATATACTGAGGAGGCCAAGAGTGGAAATAAAGGGTAAAACCGACTGGGGAAGTGTTCGTGATACCTGGTCTCTAGTAGGCACGAGGGAGCCCCTGAAGACTTCTGAACTGGTTAGTAATGCAAAACTAAGCTTTCGGGAGATTAATGTGCAGAACAAATTGGAAGAGGTAAAATTCCAGAGAGGAGGAGACGGCTAACAGGATGACTCGAGCATGGGTTGCACGTGGGAAACAGCCCGGTGCTTTCGGTCCCGTCGTGAGCATGTGCGGATCCAGCCGAACAGGGGTCCCCGGGAGCAGCCGAAGACCACTAGGAGGCGGTGTTGGCCAAAGGCTGCTCCGGGAACCAGCGCTCTGATTCGCTGGGCGAGGCGCTGACGTATGGAAAAGTAATTCCCGTCTCACAGGAGCAGCGAGGACCTCACGCGAGGGGTGATGACAGCTCGCTGCGTCTTACACCTTGAACCAGAGCGGGTGTGAGGGCCAGTTCGCCGCCCTCCACCTCCTCCAGTCATCCTTTTCTTTCCAGGCAGAGAGAGGAGCAGGACGAACATTGGTCTTTCGTTCCTTGACTGTCCTCCGTGTGTGGACAGCGGCGTACTCACCTCCACGGGCCATGAGCATCCCGGTGACCGTGAGGAAATCGAGGGCCTCGCTCGGGAGACCCACGCGTGGCGGGAAAGGAGCAGCAGACCACACGTAAGTACTCGACGGCGCCCAGTGACGGGCCTGAGGTGAGGGTTGGCGACGTGCGGGTTGGTGAGTCTCTGGCTCGTCGGGTCTCCTTGACCCGACGAGTGGAGTGGACGCTGGATGGGGGTGGGAAATCTTACGCCAAGGCCGTCGGCCCATCATTTCCTCAGTGCCCCTCCCCCCTCCCCCCATGGTGGCGGGCACCAGCTCTCGAAGGCTGAAGGTACCTGAGCGCTCAGGGCCACCGCGCCCGCTAACTGCTCACAAGCACGCCGGGAGCCCTCCAAAGGCCCCTTGGTGAACCCGGGGACCGACGCCCCCCGCCCGCC